TAAAATCACCCCAATCAGTGCCCAGATTGAACGTGCAAGAAACAAAACTGCTCAAAACAGAAATAAACAGAAAATTAGCCGACAATAAGATAGATATCAGGAACAACGAAAGCTAATCGGAATGGCTACCATTTAGAAGCAACAGTCAATGAACATCAAAAGACCAAGGGAAAAAAACAGGCAGACCAAGCACTGGATGACAGCGAAGACATTGAGGATTATTGAGAAAAGGAGAAACATTCCAAACAAGAATGAAAATCAATTGAAGCACGCTCACGTTAGTCGAGAAATTCAGAGATGATGTCGAAAAGATAAAAATGAATATATCAAAAAGATATGCGAAGAGATGAAGAGTACAAGAATACCAACCAAACGAGTGATTCTTTCCAGAAAGTGAATTTACTGTCCAGAAAATTTTAACCTAAAACACTGGCCATAGAGAATAAAAGCGGAACTATATTGAGGGAGACAGAAAAAGTTCTGAATAGATGGAAACATTACTGCGAAGAACTTTACGGTGACAATCGAGATCTAGGACGAGAATATTCAGAACAATACGATGAAGAGGAAACAGAGCCGAATATATTAAAGACTGAGGCTATAGAAGCCATACAACATCTGAAGTCAAATAAGTCACCAAGAGTAGATCACATAAATGCCGAAATACTAAAGACCGGGGATAGACATGCTATTGGACATTTGCAACAAGATCTGACACACGAAGACATGGCCAACCGACTGGATTAAGTCCATTTTTATCCCTTTTCATAAGAAAGGTTCTACTCTTCTATAGAACAATCTCTTTGATATCGCACACCAGCAAAATTCTCCTAACAATAATCGACATCGCTTACAGCTTTAGCTAAACTCACAAATACCACCAAAGGAAGAGGAACACGAGACCAAATTTTCAATATTAGTCAACTAATAGAAAAATCAAGAGAATTTAATTCCCCTATGCTACTCAGCTTTATTGACTAAAAAAAAGCATTCGACTGAGTAAAATGGAAACGATTGTGAGGAATACTAAGAGAAACGTTAGTAGCGAATCACCTAATAAGTCTAATTAAGAACCTATATTAATGAAATGAAGCCATAGTGAAAATAGATAACCACTAATCACAGACTTTTAATATACAAAAGGGGGTGAGATAAGGATGCAGGCTTTTTAAATCCTACGGCGAACACATAATCAGAAACATCCTAGACGATTTTGAGGGAGGAGTGTCAATAGGTGGTAAAAAACTGACAAACCTGCGATATGCAGACGATACAACGTTGCTGGCGAGTGATGAGGCCGAAATGAGGATGATGTTGAACAGAGTGGAAAGTGAAAGTGCTAGGATGGGTCTGGAAATAAATCTCAGCAAGACTAAGCTCATGGTGATTGGCAGAGCGGGAATCCTTCCACGTCTGAACATCACAAACATAGGAAATGCAGATGAATTTGCGTACGTGGGATCCCTAATAAGTAACCAGGGCGGGTCCGAGAAGGAAATAAAAAGACGAATAGCAATGGCACGAGGAGCCATGACCAACCTCACCAAAATATGGAAAGATCGACACATCACACGAAAATCATGCTGGTTAAATCTCTTGTATCAATCTTTCTGTACGGAGCGGAATCCTGAACTATGAAAACACCAGACATACGAAAGATGATGATGAGATGTGGTGTTGGCGGCGTATGCTACGGATTTCATGGACTGATGAATCTATACTAAGGGAGCTGAAGATCAAAGGCAGACTGTCTACAGTATACTTTGGACACACCGCAAGAAGAGATCGCAACAACCTGGAGAAACTGATAGGGAAAGGTGGAAGGAAAACGACCAAGAGGCAGGTCACCTGTTAGATGGATAGACCAAGTAAAGAAAATCACATCACACACAAAATGGATGTACACGATTCCGTGAGATCACGACTAAGAAGAAGTGGCGGAAAAGTCAATTATGACTGGCATTTGAGCAAAATCTTCCAGAAAAAGCGAATGTTCTAACCAGAAAATGATGTTTTAAATTGATATCCAGAAACAATGATTTTATGTTGATATCTGCTAGTTTGATGTAGTTTTCGATACAATAATCGGCGGAAAGGCCAATTTTAACTGTAACCTGATCGGAATACGACAAAGCAATGTTATTATGTAATCAATCCTTCAGTCAAATTCAAATTTCTATTGTTTATTAAGCTCCGAGTCTCACAATCAAAATTAAATTTACCATCAAAATTTTAATTAGAGGCGCGTTTTTTTGAGGGAAAATATTAGACCTGTGGAAGCCCCGCGCCCGAGTCATACTTTGAAATTAAATCTGCAAAATAGAAAACTCTGCTCAGATTTGCACAGAGAAAATATTTCAGTAGCGCTTAATTCGAATATTTGCGTTAGCGTTCAAATTAGCTCGCTAAAGTCATTTGCTAGTTGTTTACGTCCCCATAACAATCCGCCGTTTCGATTATACATTTGTTTGTTTACGTTTTAGTGTTAATTTTCTTACGACTTGTATTGGATGATTTTGAATATTCGCGAAAGAATCTTCAATAATGTAATTGGACTAAATGTGAAAGCGAAAATGTTTCCTAAACCAAAAGATTTCCTCTTTCTTTTGCTTATGTTAATAAAATTAATAGTACTTATTCTACATGATAATAATTCGTAATCACCGAGGAAAAGGGTGGGAAAGGCTGAGCATTGAACATCATATTAAAATACGAACTGTTTCAATTCGTCGAATTGCGTTTGATTTATTATTTCAGTGAAGGTCTATTATGTGTTTAATAATGCCACGAGTAAGTCGGGGGAGTTTACAAGGCAAGTCGGAATTCTATATTTAGCGAGCGCCTTCGTTTTCTATGATTAGCGAGTAAATTTGCCTTGACAGTTCAGGCCATATTGCGTCCAACTTCAAAACAATGTACATCCATCTAACCTTGCCTAATTAGTGTAACGGCTATATTACTTCTCGTGAAAGTCAAAAGGCGAAACTAAAATAAACATACGTCGAACGTACCCGCTAACGAATGAAAATAAATGACGATCGAAACGCGGTGTCGAATGTCACCTTTCGAAATCTAAGGCGGGGAAAATTAAGGGGAAGAATGTAGTATGTTTCTTTGTCTAGACGAAAGGGCGCGCCACTTTGTCACTTAAATGCAACGCATTTATTTAATTTGGTTATCTCCGGCTAAAAAGCGACGGAAGAGAATCAGTCAAAGTCAGTAACTTACCTAGTTTGAGATAGACCATGCTGTCTAATGAAAATCCTATTAGCTTAAGAGCAATCGATTTGGGTTTTTTTGCCCGGTTCTGCCTGCTCCTATCATTAGTTTCAATTTCGTCGGGGCGGAGAAACACGAACCACTTATTTTTTAGTATCGAAGAAAATTGTGACCGGCATTTTAAAAATTTAATTTCTATAAAAACACCCGCTTTAATATGGAAAATATTTCTGAAATTTTCCATTCCATTTCCATTTTGAAAGTTGTTTTTATAAAGTTATCACAAGTGGATGCTGATGTGGTGTCATCTCGCAAAACATTTTTAGAGATATTCCAATTGCTTAAATTCAATGGATATATGGTAGTCCTGCATAGAATTCCTGTAATTATTTGCTCACTAAACCACTTATATTAATAGGTAATAATTGTTGCTAATCAGCTACAAGTTTTAATTCCAGTACTATTAGCAACAGTTAAGTGGCAGAGGTGAACTAAGCTCATGTATCTACATTCATATCACTGTAATGCTCCTCTAAGGAAGAAAAATATTATTATTATAGCTTGTTGTTTCATTATTATTTTAAAATTCGGTTAATGTTGAGTAGCAGAGATCAAGATCTTAAGCTAGACTTCGACGTTTGAAATGGGTAACTACATTAGTTTGTATTGGTATTAAAGAATTTTGTCTAAATCTTGTGCAATAATTTACATATATCTCAATAAATTACTATTATTATTATTATTATTATTATTATTATCATTATTATTAATATTATTATCATTATTATTATTATTACTATTTATTATTATTATTATTGACAAATCTTGTTGATAATTTGAACTTGCTGACGTTTCGCTGTTAAGCTCTGGCGAAACGTCGGCAAGTTCAATTCATCAACAGCCGACGCGGATAGAGATTTCTTTTTATAAATTTACGTTTATATAATTCATATAAATATATTCTGCATTCACAGTAAAAATCTTAATAGACCAGGGAGGGAATAAAAACAAATTCAGTCAAAATACATCTGAATACAGTTATTCAAATGAAAATCCTTAACGTCGCAATAGTTCCATTCGTCGCCAAGCTTTTGAAGCTTCATGAGGTAGAGAACTGTAACATTTGTCTGGGATATTTTTTGGTTGTGATATTGATCACATTGGCTATGAAAATTAAAATAAAAGGCAAGAATCCAGAGATATCCTGATCAACAACATTCAGGCTCTTTGTTGCCCATAGGCATTGTTATTAAAAGAAGGAAAAAAATGATTTCTCGAGTATTTATCATTTGCACTATAAGTTGTACGAAATATCAATGCTCAAAGCAAGTAAATACATTTTACCAAGGGATATTTATAATTGTATAGATGTAATTAGTTAGAAGAAATTCAGCCATTTTGATATATTTATTTTAGAGGGAAACTAATTTTTTCTCACAGTTAAAGAATACGTCAATTGGTAAATATTTAGGATACTAAAGAAAGTACTTGGATATTTGGTTAATGCAAAAAGTTTCACGAATCCTTAGTCTTAGTTTCCTATCAGTAATCAAAAAATATATAAATATATGTATATATAAATATATGTAAATATATGTATATGTATTTATATAAATTAAAATAAATAATATGTAAATATTAAAGACTTGCTAGGTCTTCTTTAATTAGTCAAGACTATCTGCAGAGCGTTTTATATTTAGGGCGGTTTTCGGAAAATTTATTCTAATTTATTCTAATTATTGTTGTTGAGCGCATTATTAATGTTTTTGTGTTAATTGCAGGTAATGAGACTCGATGAAGTGGAAGGATCGTAAACTCGGGTGGGAATTCGTCATGGCTTGGAGATAAGGTAATATATGTTTAGAGGATTTTGAGTTTTAACAATTTTAAACGTAAACCAACACGACGCAGTTTGCACCACCTCAAACGAATCCGTAGATACCTAATTAATTAATCATTCTCGGTTACGCTAATTTGATTGAACTAACCTATTTAATCGGAATTAATAAACCAGTCGTCGGGTTTAATTTGGCGTTTGAGTTGTTCACCCAATATTTGCAACAAGTTTACTTGACGTACCATGTGCAAACAGCTCGTCACTCGGGCTGAAAATTTGTCCCCCGGCAACCCCTGCAAAGATAGATTTCGCATCCAACCCTCTCTCGTAGATATTCTAGATGCGCCTTTTGCTCGGTTTGCCTACATTTTTGAGTTACGTCATATTACGGGTACGGGGTTGATATATGTATATATTGCGGGGAAATCTTAGAAACTCCTTGGGGGTGTACTATTTTAATTAATTGTAATTAATATGCGTCGCTTCTCATTTTCACTGTTTTGAATAATATATTTGTATGTTGTCGATTCCCAAAAAGATGGTAGAAGAAAATGTTGCTTCCTCTTAATAATCACGATTAGTGGAATATCTTTTTATATTTAATACAATATTTTTAATAAGCCAGTGTAGGTCTAATCAAGACACATATAATAAGAATATCACATGAAATCTTCGAAATTCTTCCACGGACCCTTTTGGTGGCATTTCTACCTGGGTTGTTGTTTCACTTTCAGTTCAATTAGCACTCTCTTATCAAGCCTAATTTCTTTTTTGGCGACCCTCCCAACTAATACGCTAATACGTCTTGGACTTCCCTCTGACCATTCCCAAATTACCATGCTCTCTGGCAACTTCCTTCTCTATCCCAGAAAATGTTCATTCTTTGGTCTTTGACATCCAATTGATATGGTTTATAACGTTATTCGTCCCTCATCGCTATTATCTCTGCTTTCTTTTATGCATGGTTCTTTTATGCATGGTTGTGCTCTAACAACCCTTACTTTATATCGTTTTAAACTTAACACTACTTGCTACTGGAACGTTATAGGTACGTTGGTTATTTGTTGATAGAGGGGGAAACACACATAAGTTTCTAGAACGATTTATCACACCGAAAGTTGAAATTGTGATTTATTTTATATTGTATTAATTATAACTTATAGTATTTCAACTCAGTTATTCTTTTAGCTGAAGAAGACCGCTTAAGAAGTTGAAACACATATTGAATAATAAATAAATTTTTGCATAGTACGACTTGGTTTTCTTTCATTCAGTACTGTTACATATTTGCGAATGTGTTCAATTCCAAAAAGAACTTACAGTGATGTCTCCACAATCACCAAAAAAAGATTTGCTTTTGCTTCTTCAAATTTTTCCAAGGTTAGTTTTTTTTTATAATTGAAATGTGACTTTTTAATATCTTTTTTTAGAGTTTTGATTTAGTTGTAGTACTTTTCTGTGATAACCAAGACTCACAAGTTTTGAAACCGTGTTTTGGAAATAAGTTGTTTGTGTAAGTAAATATGACAAATAGTAAGCGATGCCATTATTAAATGGAATCCTAAAAAACTCTGCATGTGAAGTTTGTGTTCGAATATATAAATAATTTAATAAAATAAAGAAAATTAAATAAAATATCATAATTGAAATTAAATTTTTTAATACATTTTTTATAATTTTGACTTAATTTGATTACTTTGCTGTGCTAACCAATACTCACAATTTTCGGGACTGTGTTTTAGAATTCAGTTGTTTGTGTAAAAATGAATAATATAATTTATGCAAAGTGCGTTATAGGACAAGTAGTAACCTATGCCATTACAAAATGGAATCGTAAAAACTCTGCCTGTGTGTATTTTATGTTCGAATACATAATTAATTCATATAGCAATGAAAAAGTAAATTAAAAGTATTTAGTTGAATCCGCGTTGTATCTGTACACTCTTTGTTTCGACTTTTGTCAGTCCTTTTTGCGCTGTAAAGCAATATGTTATTGTTGTTGGGACGATAAAACCGACTTTATTGTCATATTTTATTGATATTATATCTGGAATAAGTAACACTCGCATTGAATTAGATTATGTTTTATTGGGAAAAGCGCTGCGAGATATAAAATTTTATTCGCGATCGGTTTTCTGCGGGAGTATATATCAAGTCGTATAAATTTTAAAGTCGGAAAGTATTTTTTTCGTGGTGTGGTGTTGGCGGGGGACGGGGGGCATATGAACCGTGTTAAATTAGTTTTGAAACGCGAGGACCATTGTCGGGATAAGTTTTCCAAAGACGACGGCGTATCTTTGTCGCCCCTTTTTGAAACGTCGTTATAATAGGGAGGTTTTCTAAAAGGACACGGTCAGACATATCTGTCGAATAATAATGCGGCGACGACCGATACGCACTCGACTCGCCGTAAACGACAATTCAATTTCTTTTGCACGATAGATTTTTCGCTTATAATGCGAACACGATTCCGGGGGGTCGGTTTTTTATTTTTATAACGGAAATTTGATTTTTATTGAACGATTTAAATAACGTGACGTGACAGCCTGCGCACAGACGTCACCATGTTTTTTTAGGAATAACACAGGCCAAAAATTTTTAATCTTTTGAAAGTTGATTTCGATCTGACTCATCTGATTTTTTTTATTACAAGAACAAAAGCCGAATTAAAAAATCTAAATTAAACAACAAAGTCTTAAACAATGGTTAAGTCCATTTATTTTTGGAAAGTCTTTCCCTCTTGGCAGAAAAATTCCGTTTAGTGGATTTTCTTGTATATTCCATGGCCGGTTTGTCCCTTTTCAATGACCAGCAGTAATCTGCCATTATTGCAACGTTCCACCGAGCTTGATATCTGCGTTCTTTTTCTTTTATGTCTTTATTTTCTTTTATATCCAGATTAGTCCAGATCTGGGTGTAAAAAGTGTAGTTTTATACTCATATCGCATCCCATTTCTACAATGTATTTGTAATTTGGATATTTGTTGTTTCGGAGAAAACCTTTAATATCATCAGTAAATGAAACTTATGCAACCTTTTCAGATCCGATCGTGGAATTAACAAAGTCTCGATCTTCCATTATTTGAGGACCTACAAAAGTTCCTTCCTTTAATTTTGCATCGGAGAGAGAAGTAAATTGTCCGCATAGGTATCTAAAACAGCTCCAGCCTTAACGTACTCCGTCATCAGTCCTAATTTAATATGCAACGCTGGTGAAGAATCGTTTCTATTCTCCCACTCATACAAAAAACAGAGGTACTTCATATATCCTGACTGCTAACCTAGTAGAAGTCCCACAATTTTTAAGTCACCACAAATCATCGAACTATAGTCCTTTTATTTCATTTTCTCGAGCAGTAGTTCCAGATTTTCGTAAAATTGTTTCATTTCCACAGAATGAGCAACAGATACAAAAGCAAGAACATTTACATTTTGCCAAAGAACTATTTTAAGGCTTCTCTTGGATGAGTCAATAAAAGGAGTCCAGTCCTCAGAATTTTAGGCTGTACCCAGTTTCTTTATTAGATTAGGAATATCATTGCAGCTAGCAGCTAAAATTCCGGAAAGATTCTTAGGTAAACGTCAGTCTCTCACTAACTCATTAAGTTCTGATTATGGAAATAACTCTGGTTGCCATATATCACCTACACCACTACAACTGGTGGTATCTTCTTCTGCTGTTGGGACATCTGGGCCATATGGCACTGGCCTAATTGCAGACATAAGGTTCCGATCAACAATGTTTTGTAAATTTTTAGTATTATATTCACGAACATTGCACATGCGGAAATAGCAGTCATCATCCTGATTTGTCGGTTCTCTCCATATCATACGTATTCCAAAAGGTAGGGATCGCGTGGTTCCATTATTCCAATGTCTTAAACCTTCTTCATATACCCAACAAACAATGTGTCTTAATTACCAATTTTTACTTTAGGTAAGTGCCATTTTGTTTTTTAAAACAATAAATATAATAAAATAATATATATAATAAATATAATAACAAATTAATTCAAAAATGTTGCGTGATAGAAACAAAAAAGGATTGTTTTTCTATTAGTTTAATCCCTTAGTCCAAAAATATGATTGCTTTATATACCTGCTATTCTAAAATTTCCTTTGACGTTTTACATACCGTTGTAATTTCATTCCTGTGATAGTTTTGGTTAGTTGTGTGTTTTGATTGAAGGTTTTTCTTTTTTAATTACAGTTTATTTGCCTTGCGTAGTACGCATCTTATTAATAAGGATAAGCATTATGCAAAAGTGTGTACTTGAAATTTTAAGTTAGTAATTTTGATCGACGTTGATCGTTTGGATTATGGATCTGAATATGAGTCAGGGACCATCTGTGGAGGCCTACGACCAGCAGAGCCTACAGTAGAATCTTTACAGGTGCCTGATGTCCTACATGGATACAAGAAAAAAAACCGATAATCAGAAAACGAATCAGGCGCTAGGAAGTGCTGAGATGAAAACATTAAGATCAATAGTAGCAAAGACTAGACGAGAGCATATTTGAAAATAGGAAAAGTAGATATCCGGCCAAAATATGTCATCCAAGATATAGCAAAATGGGAAAGAGAAGGAAGAAAGAGAAAGAGAAAGAAGAAGGAATTGGAATCAACATATAACGAGACTAGCAAAGGTCACAAGAAATGGAATAGCTGAACGGAAAAAATCACAAGAAATACCACAAAACAGGTTTTGGTCCTAACGTAGAAGGTCAAGAAAAACATTATGTGAACGCTCTATATAAGCAACTCATTTAAATCAATTTCAGAAAAAATGTTTCTTATTGGGAAAAGTTGCTTATAGAGAAAAAAGGAGTATGAAAATATTTACCGTCTGGAAAATATTTTTACTTATTACTTTTTTTGTCAAAGAAAACATTTCATTATTACATATAAGCGTAGTTAACAATATTTATTAAAAAAGTAAACAATGAAATTTTAATAAATCTTTGGTTTAGTACAGCACTAACTGCCAAAATATTCAAAACAGTTTTATATATTTGATCATGACAGCTTTCTCTCTTATTCTTAATAACAAGAAAACATCATTGTTGCTGGAGTCATCTGACCTTTTTTCATTTTCTTCAACAGGAGTAGTTTCACTTTCTACGTCAGGATTTTCTTCAAGGTTAATTTATAATTTATAAATTAAAATTTTACTATCTGCTAAATTACAATAATTAAATATCGAATTATAAAATCTTGTCAAGGAAATATCATCTTCTTCTGAAAAGTGATCAGAAGGAAGGAAGGAATTTTGTATAACTGCACCTAAGGCTGCAAGAGACGCAAGTAGATGTTTTAGTGATTTAATCATATTTTGAACTAAGAGCTGCAATAACGGTGTGTTATTAGGGGAAAAACAATGAAATGAAATGAAATTCCTGCTACCAGTAAACTTATTCTCAGACCCGTGGCAAATTGCATTATCTACTAAGACAAGGGCTTTTACAGGAAGGTTTTTAGATTCCAAGTGTCGAGTTACTGAAGGTATGAATATATCGTGATACCAGGCTAAAAAGCTATAAATTTTCCAAACCTTTTTTTATGACTTGTAATATACTGGGAAATCCGTATTTTTGAGGCAACGAGGAGATTTCGATTTCCGTCAATAAATCTAATTTATGCGTACAGCTGATTTTTTAAAAGTTAACGTTAGTTTTATTGGGAAAGCTTTTATAGGCGCTTTATTAGACGCCATTTTTAGCTAGATAGCATTAGCTAGCTCCACATTACACGACATACTCTAACTAACTTCTACCTAACCTAACTACGTTAACCATCTCTCACTTGTTAGAAATGTTTCAGGTCTATTATTTGGTCTATTTACTTGGAGTGCTTTTAATTTTATCATTTCATTTGGAAGGTTTAATTGTTGCCGCTCCAAGAACCAAGAAAACACTGCACCGTCGATTTCACTATATGTTATTGTCTTCGTTCGCTTAATCTTACTTATTGTAGATTTCGCAACTTTATATTCGTTACAAATGTCCTTTGTTTTCTTACCATTTTCAATGTCCTTTAAAATGGATCTTTTAACGAAATTGAACGCCTTTTTTTATTGTGATTCATATTTTATGGTTGAATTTAAATAACAAAAATATTTAGCTTTTAAAAAAATAAGTTGCTTATACAGAAACAGTTGAACTAAAACAAATTGCTTGTTGTTGCTTATAAGGAATGTTGCCTATAGAGAGGTTGCTTCTATAGAGCGTTTATATTATGGTTTAATATCATTTTTTTTACTAATTATTTATAAACGTGAGACATGAAATGTAACTTTTAATATATGTAAAGCTATTCGCATAACTTAAGTTTAGTTAAAAGCTAAGATTTCTATGTTTGTATTTATTGCCGCCTAAATGACCATAAATGACCTCTGTGCGACGTGCGGTGTTCCTATTTGTTCGAGTTTTCGCCTGAGCGAAAGTAAAATTGTTCTATGTGGTTGCGATTACTGTGATCAACCGTCGGAAAATTTGATCTAATGTGCAACGCACCGACACCTTTAACCTTTAGCGTGCCTTAGGTAGTGAATAGTTGTCGCAATACGTCCTCGGGATACCATTGCACTATTTAGGTAGTCCGCTAGGCACAAGAATTATAGAACACACACGTGTTGAGTTTTGGTTAATTGATTTTGCTTGAAAGTCGCTTTATGCATTTATTGCGTAACAAGAGCAATTCACGATTTATTTTTCCAATATTTTAATTAAATATTAAATTGTTGATTAAAGAGTTAATGCAAAATATGGTCAAAATAGTGTTTGAACCTGTGAATAGTCAAAAGAATGAGAAAATAAACCGTTCGAATGTCGATATCGAAGCAGTGCGTGAGAGTGTTGGTGAAAACCCAGGAATAAGAATTTCAAATTTCAAGAAGCTCTCTACAGCGTGTACTCGCAAAAGTATGAGTGCTTCCAAAATTCAATTAATGTGGGCGTGGACTTTAGGTCGGAGGCATCATTGGAGCTTAATAACAGCAGTAACTGTTAATGGTGCTCGATATCCTGACATGATAATACAGTTCTTCAATATGTTGTTTCAAGACCATGTCATACAATCAGTGAAACAATTCAATTAGTGTATGAGACATTTTCTGATCGTGTGCTCCCTCGTTTTGCCGATCAGAATTGCCCGTAAGATCCTGTAATTTTTAGATTTATTCTTATAGGGTTGTTTGAAGTCAAAGGTCAAACAGTACACAATCACGTTTTCGACAAAAGAGTGCTTATGTACCAGGAAAGCTATGGATCTGTTATTCCATGTAGTTTATGAAAACTAAACGACTAAAAACGCGGTCTTCCATTTAATTCAAGCCTTGCGTTAATGCGCCCATCATAAAGGGCGCTTACAGAGCTTAATCCATCTGACATACGAGTGCCTGGGATAAGTGAAAGTTCCCCCTAATTAACTACGGGAGATCGTAAATGACTAGAAGGAGATCTAGAACTGTTAATACTAATAATAAGAGCAATACAATTATCATAACATTTATATTGGAGTTAATGCATAGTTCAAATATAGATCGACTAATTTTCGATGTTGAAAGTATTATTATCTACAAATCTTTCAGATTTCCCGTTGCCTTCTTCAGAGATTAACTAAAAAAGTTTCAGTTAAGGTCTGAAGAGGATAAGTTGAATGTGTAAAATAATCCCAAAAATTAAAAATTCCTGCGTTTTTAAAGCGATATGTTCTTCTATGTGATGCAGAACAAATAAATCCGGATATAAAGAATAATTTAACTATATTCTTCAAAATTGTTTTATTTTTACATTACATTACATTACATCTAGTATTATTTAATTTTTGAACTGGAGTAATACTAACCAGTAACTTTTATTGTTATTTGATTTCATTATTTGGAATTAAGTTTCGTGAGATTTTTTAGCTTCTCTTGGTAGGAACGTAATTTCATCTTGTTTACAAGCCGACTACGATGCATCAAATATATCCAACGTTCATTTTTTAGGGAGTCAAACAAAAGCCAAGTTTACTTTATTAAGTTTCCGGATTCGATATATTTAGGAAGAGAAAAAAATACGGTTTCAGTCATTAATCTTGTTTGTTATCAGAGACGGTCTTTTTTCTCCCCCACCTCCTCCTTCTCCTCCTCCTCCTCGTCCCCGTGCATTTGTCGTTTTAAATGTATTGGAGTATCGCATTTAAGAGGAGAAAAGGAGGCCTTAGTAACAAATTTTCTGACGTGACAGCCTGACCTAATCTAATTGAACCGCCACCGGCCTAATGACATTTTTCGTTTATTTGCTCTCCGGCTTCAAAGCCAACCCCAAACGTTTTCGTCCAATAGTTCGATGTGGTTAAAAAGTAAATCTTACATCATTATTGCAGACGAATAGAATGGTTGCCAATGAGAAGTTGTGGGAACCATTATTTTGATCTAGATTTTGATGGTTTGTTTGACGGGTATATAAAATGCTGAAGAAAAGTGATATTTTGAACTTCCGTTGACTTTATTATTAACTTTTTTACCATGTTTCAACTGGTCAAATATCTCGTATTCACCTGAAGACTATCGAGTATTCAGTAGTCTCCTGAAGACGGCCGGGCATACTTGGGCATTGGAAAAGTGAATAACAAAAACAAGGGAGTTACAGGGTGAGCAAAATTTAAAAAGACTTCGTTGTTGCATAAATTGCTTATTGTTAGTTCTTGTTAAAATTTTCGTCGTCAGCAGCGAGTTGTAAAATAGAAAATAATCCGGAAATTCACTCAGTAATTAAATAATAAGTTACCCTGGAAGATAGCTGACTAGATATTCTCAATATGTCAAATTGTGAATGCTTTATAACAAATAAATATCCTGCGAGTAAACACATTTTAGGAACTACTAAACCCATAAAGTAAAATAATTATTAATGTAAAGTGAATTTTTTAAATGCAAATATAACGTTTTGATGGTTTGATGGTTTGATGGTTTCTTTCACTAAGAATTTTAGTTTCATGACATAATGAAAATCTCTGGTTTGTTCCTAATCTCGAATTTTCTGTTGAGGGTGTACAACTTATAATTATTGTTACTAATTTAATTTATTTGAAGCGAACGACACTTTTTATTACTGATATTTTCCAAAATTATTTTGGGAGTCAAACGCCATGGAGGAGGAAAATGCTTTTCTTAATGGTGACTGTGAGGTTTAAAAAAGATGTACACATATGTCAGTTAACGAAAGAAATGAACGGATTTTAATAATAGTTTTTCAATTATCTTCATTTGGCGTGTTTTACGGGAGAGACCGTTGGTGGAAAACGTCGCGTTCTAAAACTCGAGACCTGGAAATGTGTAACTCAATCGACGCAGATATCGGATTACCGGAATTCGCAATATGGCCAGCCGTTAAGGAATCCGTGCGTGTTTTGTTTTTCTCAAGTTTTGTCCTGCGAAGATTTACCGTGACACGTCCCGTTCGTACGGTCCATCATTCTCGGCACGTTCAAAAACCATAATGCTTAGTCCATTGTAAATATTGGCGGCCATGATCTGTTTATTTTCCTTTTTTCGTGTCCGAGACTTGGTCGATTCTTGAATTATTGTTCCTGGGCACGTGCTAAAGAACGATATTGGGTTATTAGGTGAAAAAAAAAACACACACACACAGACACACACGCGCATTATTTATTTTTTGATTCAGATTAATTACTCTATTACTTCGAAATTTGTAAATGGCTCTAATTTATGTTTTTTTTTAAGAATCTCAAATCTATTCGAATTCTAGTTCCAATTTTATTTTCAGAATTAGTGTTACAAAACGGGGAAAGACATAGTTGATTGGGAAATAAGTTCCTTATATTTTAGTAAAAACTTCTATATCAAAGCTAGAGTTGTCATGTTAATGGAAGAATGATTGAAGACGATATCTGCCAGTCTCACTTCAGAACTGTATACCCTCGGATAGATCTCTGCACTAAAACCTTGTTTTGCTTATCGCTTCACCTTAAAGTTATGGCCAACTGGAACTGTTTGACAAAAGAGACAGAAGAGAGAAGTACCATTGGGATTAAAAATAAATAAATTGCCAACGAATTCTTTTTCAGGAGTACTTAGAACCTAACTAGACTACACCCCGCTTAATGCTGTACCGTGTGTTCAATTTATCTTGATAACATTTTAATTGGCTGTAACTTTTTTTTTAGAGATATCAAGGTAAACAAAAAAACGAAATGAAGGGTTGGTAGCCAAGTTTTTTTCCAAGTGACGTATAAAACAAAACACTATCAATTTTCTGACATATAAGCCTACATGATGTATATTTTTTAAAAAGAACACTCTGTATATTATATATGATGTAACACACTTTATATTTTAGTCCACTTGTTTTTGAAAAATCGGCAAAAATAGGAAATTTTTATATAATTTCAAAGAGTGCCGTGACTGACAAATAAAAATATGTTTATGTTTGCCACATTAGCAAACAACGTTGATGGTTGAATTATTGTTCAAGTCATTGTTGTTAAAATGTTTTTTCGCAAATTTAGCAAAAACTATACAACCGCAGTTCGTCGTCAGTATGTTAGACTTTATCCAGAGCGCCGAACACCTTCAAAACAGATATTTCCAAGGTTGGCAAAGAAATTTGCAGAAAACGGTAATGTTTTAAATGCTAAACAGGTGTGCCGTAACCATAATGTTTTAAATGAACCACATCCACTCAGTTTTGAAAGAATATAAATGTGATGCATTTAAATTTCGTAAAACTCAAAAATTAAATTCAGAACGATGTCAAATAACGATGCAGTTTTGTAACGATTTTTTAAATAGTCATCATTAAAAATATTCTATGGATTTATGAAAGTTCGTTCACTACAAGAAAAGGTTTTAATACACAAAATACGCGATGTTGGTCTTCAAATACCAATCAATTAATGTATGATGCGGTGTCAGAGATGGGCATATTTCGGGTCCGATATTTATAGATCAAAAGTTAACTGGAGATCATTATTTGCAACTCTTAGAGCACCAAATAGAACAATAAATAGGAGATTTACCTTTAAATGTATCAGAGCTTATTTTATGGCAGCACGACGGTGCCCCTCCTCACAATGTTGTGGAAGTTAAAATTTTTCTAAACATGGAATATCCCAGGGGTTGGATAGGGAACGGCGGAACTATGGATTGCCCAGCCAACAGACGCTTTAATGGATTTTTTCTCACTCTTTGAGTAAAAAAAACTATGTTACATCATTGTAATCGGAACAAGATATTCTATTAAACACATATATAATATACAGAGTGCTCCCTTTAAAAAATATGATGTACGTTTATATGTCAGAAAATTAATAGTGTTTTGTTTTATACGTCACTTGGAAAAAAAACTTGGCTACTAACTCTACATTCTGTTTTTTTGTTTTACCTTGATATCTAAAACAAAAAAGTTACAAAACAAAAAAGTTACAGCCAACTAAAATGCTATCAAATCTTTGATTACTTTTTGACAATAGTTTTTTGTTGGATAGATCTCTCAAAAATGCACTAAAATCTTATGTTTCTTTTTACATCAACCTAAAGTCATGGTCAACTGCGACTAATTTTTGATGTCAAATATCGAAAAGGGCTATTAGGGATTTCTTTAAGAATAAAGTATCAACGAATCCTTATTCAGGACAACTTTAAACCTAACTATACAACTACACAGTTTTTTGAAGCGGCAAATCGAGAAGTACTTTTAGAGACTTTTCGCATTAAAAATGACAACACATTCATATTCAGGACTACCTCAAAGTAACTAGACCAATGATCAACGTTGTTGTCAATGTTTTAAAAAATTAAATATTGTAAGTGTGATTTTTTATGTGATTCTAAGATCTTACAAACTTTAATTATACAAATTTCAAAAATAATGATAAAAAAGACTTATTAGTATTATCTTAAAACAACAGCATTAGTATATCTTAGATATACTAAGATATAATGTAAACAAAATTAAAATTTAAATTAGGGAGTGAATTTGACTGTCGAATATTCGCTTCTCCATGCCAAATTTTTTTCACAAAGGAAACAGTATGACGACGTCAATTAATTTTGATGTTTCTATTATTTTCATTATTAGATGATAATTATAAATCCTTTTTAATTAAAATAATTCAGCGTTGTAAAAAAAAAGAATTATCAAAATTGAGCCATAAACAAACATTCTACATTAGTAACACTTATTTTGAGCACCCTGTTTTCGAACTTCATGGAAATTAGTATAGTTAGACTTTAAAGAAAAGAAATCCCCAATAGCCCTTTTCGATATTTGACATAAAAAATTAGTCCCAGTTAGCCATGACTTCATCTTGATGTAATAAGAAATATAAGGTTTTAGTACGTTTCTAATTTATTTTTTTTTAAATCCCTATTAGTACTTCTCTCTTCTCCCTCTTTTGTTAAGTGGTCTCAGTTGGCCATGACTTTAAGTTGGGGCAATAAGCAAAACAAGGTTGTAGTGCATTGTTCAGAGACCTATCCTACAAAAAAAAATCAAAATCGAACCATAAACAAAGATTTTACAAGGGTGTGTGGGGAGTTCTTAAGTGGGACACACTGTAGAAGCAAATCATCATTGTACCATATAGTAGACATTTAAACAAAAACGCTAATGGTAGGGAAACAAAGCTCTTTGTTATTAAACGAGTTCTTTTAATAATCAAATAGTAACTCTCAGATAATGAGATTTATCAAAAAAAGATTGATTGGATTGCTTCTTTAGTTTTGTTATACATTGTAACATTATCCTATTTCGTTTGTTTGTTTTTTTTTGTCGTGCAAATCGAATTTTACGGTACACGCGATGATGCTGCGATAAATTCCCGCTCTCCGGTGTACCATATTGTTTAAGAAAATAAAATGCCTCGTATATTAAAGCGGGAAGTTCAGTTGTTCGTTCCTTTTGGGACTTAATTTTATTCCCTATTTAAAAGTCTTGTATTGCCGCTATAGTGTTTTTCTTTAGAGAGCAGAGTAGTTTACTCCTCTCAAAAGGAAATTTTGGTGGTCAGCATCACAATAGAAAGCAGAAAACACTTAAGATCTGTCGGCATTGAGTAAAACTAGGTTATTTGGTAGAAACATTTTGTGAATAAGAATTGATCTGACTAAACTGGACGTCTCTTAGATGGTGTAATGCTAACTCCACTATGTGGAGATGAACTATTTCTCAAATTTAATGAAAATTAGGTAAGACTGTTAGACTGTTAGAAGACGCTAAGACAGTTTATCTATTCATAAGCACACTAAGCAGTTATAAACAAAGCTTAAAAATAGAATAGTCGTAAGAAGAAATAAATTATGGCAGTGATTCGTGGTAAACATCGGCAAATATATGAAAATGAACCACTGATTGACTACAGCGGCAAGTTTTGAAAAGATCGACAGGCTCAAAATTTGAGTTTTACAAAGTTTCTATATAATCCAACGATGGGGACAAAAACGAACAGAAAAAGCAATCACGAGAACCATAACATCTTAAGAACTACACTGAGCCTTATACGGGTTAGTCATTCTGTTGACGAATTTGAAATGTCTTAATAATCTCATGTAAGAGCTTAATCTCAAAGTTGTTTTTATAGTTTTAGGATTTCCGTAGTTAACAATTTCTATTTCTTTTTTGTATCATATAATGACTTTACAACACTGACATTTTGATCACGTTTGTCTTCTTCTTTTTCGGCATTTTCCTTTACAAGTTCGCCGTTTTTATCCTCCACAGTTCTATTCCATTCCAGTCCCGTACTCTCAGATCTCTATTATTGCATGTCAATGTATGTCTCCCATCTTAGTCTTCTCTCCGAAGGTTGCCATTCCGGTGCTCGTTTTGGCCAACTGTGTTCTGGCATTCTTTGTACGTGACCATACCATTGTAATATTTACTAATTTCCTTGTTATGGAGCATTCTACTTTCATTCGGTGGCAAATTTCTGCAGTTCTAATTTTGTCAGTTCTTGTGACTTGTAGGCATCTTCTCATAAAGTCCAATTCGACCGTTCGTATTTTGTTTCTTATCGTTGTTGTTATTAGCCATACTTCTACTCCATTTGGAGGAATGCGTTTAATGTTCTCTCAAACTAACGAATTACATTACTGACAGACTATGGAATACTTTGGTAAACTTATCAGTAGATATTGATTTTAATAGTTTTCAATGATAATGTTCTTAGCTCTTATATATAATTTTAATTTATTTAGATTGATATTAATTGGTTCATATTGATATTTAGGGAAGGAGATTGAAAAGCCTACGCCTCGCGATAAAAAAAAACAATTAATAAAAGAAGAAAAAGAACGGTTCTGTTTAAGTTTACATTTCCGCGGTGTATAGTCTCGTTCATCAAAGTAATACTTTTTACTTTTTTTTCCTTCCTCGTTAATACCCCGCATTAGCGCAATGGATTGTCGAACTCATAAAGCGGACTTTTCAATGTTCGAAATATACGACTGTCGAAATAAAAAAAGAGGAGGTCCTTGGTCCAAAGAAGAATCGATGCAATTTCCTGGAAAAAACTTAAATTATTCCCTCGTAAATTTTGCACTTTCTTATGGCCCGTTTCTTTTTTTTTGGCCCTCCGCCGT